GTGGGCCGGGCCTGAGCGGATAGAACCTCCCTGCGCCTAGGCCCGCTGTGGTCCGCACGCAGCCCTGCCTTCCAGCGGGCACGAGCAAACCTCCGATGTGCACCTCTACGCACCCACGCATCCTGCTCTAGAGGCGTTCAGCTTAGTGCAAGGCAGCCCCCAAAACAACTTTTTCATACGACTTTTGTGTATCAGGTCTGTGCCAGCTTAGATGGGCAGTGGTGTGGGCTCCTGCTGAGTCTGTCTCGCTCCCAGCCCACCAGGTGGGGACAGGAGAAAGTTAGGGGCGGCTTGGTGTGTGCTGCACACGGGGTCTCCTGCTTCCCCTGCCCTGCGGCTTCCTGCCTTGGTCCCTCTGCTCAGAATTTAGCTGTGCCCGCTTTGTTGTGATTCCTTTCTGTGGGGAAAACTAGGATGGGCCACTGTTTGGCAATCTGACCCATGTAAAAAAAATTTTTAAATGACAATCTGTCGACCAAGAACACTGATAGGCAGTAACCGAGTTTATTACATTTAAATGTACACGTGTATGTATGTATCTGTCATTATTTTGGACTCCTTATTCTTTTCCTTTATTTTATCTACCTGTTGTCTCATTGAACCCGTCTCAGTTACTTTAGCTTTATAATAAAGTCTCGATGCCATTAGAAGATCTTCCTACTTTGTTCCTTCCCAAGTACACCCTGGCAATCCTTGATCCTTTCCCTGCTTTTATTTGTTTTTAGAATAAGTTTGGGAATCTCCGAGGAAATACCTGCGAACCTTTGAACCCTATTTCACAGACTCTCTAGCTAAATCCGAGGAGACGGATGTGTCTATAATGCCGAGCATCGTGTTTCTTTTCATTGACGTGTGTGCTTTTGATCGTGACATCATTAGATGAAAACAAAGCCCCTTTGGAGGTGAAAGGGAGTACAATACAAGGGGAAAGCCCGGGAATTCGTGCATTTTTTGGTTGGGGAAATAATTTTCCTGTCGGACCCAGGCAAGAACGTGCCTTTGTCCTGCAGTCAGGATTGGCTCCGGCCCAGGAAAGTGTAGGAGAACGGGAACTGCGGGGAGACACAAAAATTCGTAGCACGGCATGTCCGTGTTCAAAAAGAAACAAGAGCTTACGTGGTAGCAAAATACAAAACGCTTTCATTTCTGCGGGAGTCTCTGTCTCCCCCACTGGGGTTTTCTGCTGCGGTTGTTAGGTTGTCGGCGCTGCTACTGAGAACCAGGGCCGGGTGGACGGCGGAAGACCCTGCAAGCCGAGCCAGCGCCTCCAAGCTGCGCGAGCACCTTGGACTTCGCTTCTGAAACACACTTCACCGAGAAATTGTGTGGACGCTCACGGTGGGGACCGGAACATCGGCTCCGGGCAGCCGCGCTGTTTACTCGCCCCGTGGAGTCCGAGACACAGACCCGCTCGCCCCCATCTGGGTGAGCCCTTGGGGCTCCTCCAGGCTGCGCTGACTCCAGCCTTTCCAGCTTTCACTCATGCGACCCTGGCTGGCTCCCTTTTTTTGTGGGGGGGGTGTTGGTTTTTTGAGACAGGGTCTCACTATGTACTTGAGACTGACCTGGAACTCACTGTGTAGCCCAGGCTGGTCTCGAACTCACAGTGACCCTCCTGCCTCAGCCTCCCGAGTGCTGGGATTACAGGCTGTTTTACTTTCGACAAAGTTTGCACAGCTGTGTCCTCTTCTTTACCTTCGGTCTGACTCATGAGATTTGCCCAAAGCGCAGTCCACCTGGGTGAGTTCTAGCTCGCTCTCTTCCTCTTCTTTCCCGCGCAGTGCTCTTTCTGTCTCTTAATGGACTCCCCCTGAGCCCTGTTTTATTCGATAAGGGTGAAGCCTCATGAAATGTTTTCAAGAGGGGCTCTCGGGGATCACGGTGCCTCTCTTTCTGAGACTTTTCCCAGGAACCATTTCACGAGAGAAATTAGGTCCAGGACATCTGCAGCCCAGCACGCTCAGGCAGAAGACTTTCTCAGACTGAAATTACATTTCACTGGGGAAACACACACACGCACACACACGCACACGCACACACACACAATCCCCACATTAATCAGTGCCTTAAAAACGGTGCCAGTTTTTCTCCTATTTTATAAGTACCATTGTACAACTTCTGTTTATAGCTCAGTAGCTATGACATGATGGTTTTAAAACATGTCTCAACATTCTTGATACTCTTAAAAGAGAAGTGAGTCTTATTTTCTTTTCAGGACATGAAACTTGTATTAGTCAGTCCTTACAGGTTAGAGTTAGGGTGTGTTGGGGATCTTTTTTTTTAATGACTCTGTCCTGGAAAATCTTTGAAACAAATTTGTATTTCTATACCTTTGAGCCTCTGATGAATGGAGTGTCCTTGAAAATTTCTGAGCTACCCCTGAGTGACTGAGCCTTCCTTCCTAGTGCCGCAGTAAGAGATGGTATCTCTGGGTGTTTCCCAAGCTTGGCACAAACTCCTGGGCTCAAGTGATCTTCCTGAATCATCCTTTCCAACAGGTGGAACTACAGACTTGTGCCACCGTGCCCAACCACTTGGCACTATAAAAAGTTTTACAGGTACTAGCAAATGCAGTCTCCTTGGACATACCTTTACAAATACACCTTTGCAAGCTAACCCATTTTCTACTTCTCTCTATTCTGCTCCTCCTTGCTCCTGTTTATCACTACAGATCTAGTGAAAATCAGTCAGTGATACCCATGCTACTGCCTGAATTCTGTGCTATGCTGAAATCTCTTCTAAGTAAAGTAGTTTGTCATCTTTAAACTCAG